AATGTTCAGAGTAGCCCAAGTTCACTGAAAACAATGTTCACAGTAGCCAGTATATGAAACAACCTTTTATGTGTTTATGGGTAAATTGATAAAGCAGTGTGTGTGTGTGTGTGTGTGTGTGTACATATATAGGTATGTGTGTATGCCTATCCATGTGAATATGTGTACACATGTAAACATACACATGCAGAGGAATATCATTCAGCTATGAAAAATACGAAAATCTTGCAATATTTAATTTGAATGAATCTGGAGGACAGTTTACTTTCTGAAATAAGCCACGCACACAAAAGGCAAACACTATATGATGTCACCTACGTGTTAACTCTAAGAAAGCCCAACCCAAAGAAACAAAGAGTAACCCCTCGGGGTGGGGGAAATGGAGAGATGTTGCTCCAAGGGTCCACCTCTCATTTACAAGATGAATAAGCTCTTGGAAATGAATATACCACACGGTGACTATGATGGACATTGTGTATACATGTATATTTATTTATGCTCAAGTAAATGTGTTATGGATTATCCTATTTGTACCTTTTTTTTACTTTTTTTTTTTTTTGACAGGCAGAGTGGACAGTGAGAGAGAGAGAGAGAGAAAGGTCTTCCTTTGCTGTTGGTTCACCCTCCAATGGCCGCTGCGGCTGGCGCACCATGCTGATCCGATGGCAGGAGCCAGGTACTTCTCCTGGTCTCCCATGGGGTGCAGGGCCCAAGCACTTGGGCCATCCTGCACTGCACTCCCTGGCCACAGCAGAGAGCTGGCCTGGAAGAGGGGCAACCGGGACAGAATCCAGTGCCCCAACCGGGACTAGAACCCGGTGTGCCGGCGCCGCAAGGCGGAGGATTAGCCTAGTGAGCCACGGCGCCGGCCTGTACCTTTATTTTAAAAAAATATTTATTTATTTATTTAAATGAAAGTCAGAGTAACACAGAAAGAGGAAAGGCAGAGAGAGAGAGAGAGAGGTCTTCTGTCTGCTGTTTCACTCTCCAATTGGCCCCAGTGGCTGGAGCTGCGCCGATCCAAAGCCAGGAGCCAAGAGCTTCCTCTGGGTCTCTCACATGGGTGCATGGGCCCAAGGACTTGGGCCATCTTCTACTGCTTTCCCAGGCCATAGCAGAGAGCTGGATGTGAAGTGGAGCAGCTGGGTTTCAAACCAGTGCCCACATAGGATGCTGGCACTTCAGGCCAGGGCATTAACTTGCTGTGCCACAGCGCCAGCGCCTGTACCTTTATTTATTAACATTTTACATAAATATTTTATATTTTCATGGGTATGCAATATATTAAAGAAATTAATTTATACACTAAATTTATGATATTAGTTTATATTTATATAAAAGTAATACATTTGGTATATTGCCATCCTGGTTGAGCATCCATTGTGTGAAATGGAGGGCTGCAGATTTCAGAGCTTTCAGATTTGGGCATGTTTGCACATAAGACTGCGTATTGAGCTGTCTTGAGTAGGGAATCCAAGTTTAAACATGAAATGAAACTCATTTATGTGGCATATACACCTTTGCCCTTAGCCTGAAGGTAATTTTACATAGTATATTTGGTTTACCCACATTTTGACTATGATCTGTCACACGACATCAGGTGCAGAATTGTTCATTTGTAGGATCCCATGAACATTTATCAAGTTTCTGATTTTTGGTTTCTGGATTAGAGTTTCAACCTGTAATACATACATGCATGCTTAAATATATGACGTATAATACATGCGATCCATTATGTAGACTACATTTTAGTATATAACGTATTGAAATGTAGATACATATAATATGTACACACATTTTATATCCATACTGATACATAGTTACTAATGCTATATTTGTTATACATACTTAGAATTTGCCAAGAGAGTAGATCTTAAGTGTCACCAAAAACGGTGACTGTGTGAGTTGATGGATGTGGTAAATGGCTTGATTGTGATAATCACTTCACACTATATATGTAAATCATCTTGTATTTCTTTAATATCTAAGAGTTTTATTTGTCAACCAGATCAAGGGAAGGATGGGAGGAACAAAGGCCAAGACAAAGCCCATAGCTAGGAGAAAGTGACTGACTGGAAACATGTGGGGTGCATGAGCTGAGTCCTAGGAAGGAGAAGCACCTGCTGCAGGTCAGACAGAGAGCTCAGGGTCCCCCCAGAGCTGAGAGAACAGGAATGTCAGTGGGAGGGCACAAGGGCTCCTCTGTGTGTGGGTAGGGAGCTGAAGCAGGAAGCATGTCCTGCTAAGAGGCCACAGAGTCCATGGGGCTGTGTGCAAAGAGGGAGGCTGGGAAGTCTGCATGGCCCATCCAAGAGTGCCTGAGGTGGGCAATGGCAGCCAATAGTCACATCAGCAGCAGAGTTGCTGCTGCCAGAAGATGCTGTGGAGTGCCATGTGGTGTCAGGTTGGCATCTGGTGTGAAGTGGGCGTCTGCTTCGTTCTGGATTGGACAATATTAGGGTCATGTTGGGGAACACTGAACAGGCTGGGATTGTGCTGGAGGAGGGGGCATAGGCGAGGGCTCCTTGTGGCCGAGTCCTGCTCCATGAAATCCCACCTGTGCCACTGGCGTTCAGTGTGTCTGCCCAGTTGTTCCGTTTACCTACGAAATGTCACCATAACATTCTTGGTTTCTACACACACATGCTATGAGCAAGCAAATGCACCCAAGGGCACACACACACACACACACCCTTGCACACAAACAGGCATGCGTGGTCTCCTGCTGACACTCCAGCTGAGTACAGTGACTGAGCTCATGCTATCTGACAGCAGCTACGATGGAGCAAACACCCAAGAGGCTCCCTGGTCCCTGTGATTGTGGAGCTCCTCTGCTCTGCACAGGGCTGTACCTCGTGGTGTGACTTCCCAGCCTCATGGGAGAAGTCATGGAGCTGAGCTTCCCCACTCACGGAGGACACAGCACAGGGGAGCATAGGTTGTGTGAGGAGACGGTGGGTACCTGGGCCATCAAAAAATCCATGGAGACACCAGATCTGAAAGAAAGCCAGCACACTACGACTCACAGCTTCATCCGTCCTGCACCTGTGGCTCCCACCTTGGCTGTCCTCCCAGGATGTAGGAACAGGACTATGGGGCCTCACAATGCCATTGCCTACCTGAGCCTTGTCCCACTTTCTCTACCTTGTGCTTAAAGACCCTGCACATCTGCACAAGTAAGGACAATTAATTCCCACAGCACGCCCTGTTCAAGCAATTCCTTATTTTCTGGTTTTCACTGGGGACTGCCTGAGTGAGTCGGGGAAGATTTGTGTCTTCCTGTGTCCTGGTTAGCTTCATGATAGCAAAAGCACATCCAGTATCCTTCTGCCTTGCTCTGGTGATTATCTGAGAGGGCCTCCTCCAGGTGGCTGAGTGAAAGGAGCAGATGTGCTCCTTACCTCGTCTGCAGATATTATGTCACCGTACACACCAAGGTCACCTTATAAAGGCAAGGGACCCTCTGCTTCTGAAAAGGCAGGAGCTGTGTTGGCCCTGAGATAATCGGTTAGAGGGGATCTTTTGAGTCATGACACGGGGAGGCCTGGGTGCTCTTCTGGAGTGCAAGAGTCTAAAACCTTGGGATCCACAGGTTCTTTGTCCACCAGAACCTCCCCACCTCTATAGAAGCACTGCCTAGTGCTTCCTAGATCGGTAGATTTTGTATTGCTAGAGGAAGGCATGGAATCGAGATTACTTTCTGGTTCCTGCTTATGAGGGGCCCACAGGGGTCAGAGCTGTAAGCTGTGGACACTTCAGTGTTGCTTGGCTGCAGTCCATTGCCAGCTCAGCTCAGGGACAAGCAGATCTGCCCCAAGAAGGGGTGGGCAGATTTACGCGGCACAGGCAGAGGCCAGCTCCTTCCCTCTGATGCCCATTAAATACAAAGCTTACAACCTGAGATCACTTGAGGTCACTGTTGAAGGACACCTCATGTATCACAAAGCAAAAGCAGCCAAGCGTTCCCACACTTATTTCAGGCCCAGTGACAGAGCCATGGGCAATTCAGGGGCCTTGGGTAGCAGAGGGGTGTGCTCACCATTCACAGCTGAGTCTGCAGTTCTCTTGTCTAAGGGTCTGAGAGTTTGGTGTCCTCCCTTAGGAAGGAAAGCTGAGGGACAGGTGGGCCCTTGGCAGCCCTGAGGCATTCAGGGCAGGAGTGGCATGCTCTTGGTGGGATGGGAATTGAGGCAGGTGGACTTGGCTGTGAGCAGTGAGAGAGGGAGGGGTGGCTGTGAGCTCTCACCTGAAGCACTCTGTAAAATCTGCCAGAGATCTCTGGTACCAACTCCTCCGAGACTCTCCAAGGAGAGCAGGCTCCCAGAGCCATCCTGAGCCACTGGATGGGTGCTGCATACTGTCAGACGAGACAAGCACTTTCTCAGGGCC